AATATAACATGTCATTGAATGAATCAATAAACAATGGAAAACATTTCCAGATGTTGATGTAATACATTTTATGGGATAATTAGCAAATAACATGAATCAAAGCCATGTGATACTTACTAGCCCCCAAATGCCCTGGTACGGCCGAGAGAACGGAGAGTTCGCTTTCCCTCTCGAAATGCTCTCACATGGCCACACGTATATAGCCACTGCCAGGGAAGTCCTGCTCACTACCTTCTCATGGCGGGAGTGTTGTTTACGAAAATGAGATGACGAAAAGCGAATGTCTGGCGCTTTAACCGGATTCTGAACCAATGGTGCACATGGGCTCCAGTATCCTGCGGGAACAAATGGCGTATGAACCAATTGTTGGTCACCGGCTTCCATGGGACTGCATCTCCTCACGATGCTCTACTGCCTTGTGGATCAGACCTTTAGGTCGAAGGCTCGGGGAGTGGCTCCCTAAAAAACCACCTGCTTCGGTTTTGGCACCCGGTCAGTATCACAGCCCTTACACATATCAAATGAGGTTTGTGTGGCGCATATGTATTTGGTGCCTCTTTATACCATTATTTATGTGTTGAAATAAATAAATAAATAAAATGTGATACTTCCTAAATATTAAGAAATAAATATTCTGAAAAGAGAGTACAATATTTCGCAGAATATATTGTGTTCCATATTTCTATCAAATAAATAGATACAAAGTCTAATTTCTATTCACTCATGTCAGTTTATAAATTAAGAAGACTCAATAGATGTACGACGCTATTATTGTTGAAAGTAGCAATACTAATCTATATCTTGTATAATTATTTTATAGCAATAATGATCATTTAATTGTCAGTATCTAACTAATTACCGTCTGTACACAGCGCTTAGCATCTTTCTACTCAAAAACGTCAGCACAACGCTTATGTGTATATATATATATATATATGTTTACCAGCATAATGATTAATCCTGCTGTTTTACAAACAACGTTCTGATGGTTTAGATAAAACAATAACATTTTGAGTCAATTAATTAAGCCAATATCTTTCCTGGTCTTTTTAGTACCATCACGTTGGAAAATTTTTGTGTTTATTTTATGCTTGACGGATTTAGAGATTAAAATAAATCGATAACCAGTTTAAATTTCATAACTGATAAGAAAGAATGCCTGAAAATAGTTTGATTCCTATTTTCTCACCCATACGTTTGGAACAGTGTCAATTAATTACGGAGTTAGAATAATTTTAATATATATTATAATTAACGATGGTTTTTTCCTGATTGACAATAACGAATAAATTTAATATATTTTTTGAAGACATTAAGTGAAAACTCTTCAAATTTAGATGATTTATCGTCATTTTGTAAGTATCGACGACTCTATACTTGAGTGAACTCGAAAAATTTACATCTAGTGGTAAGTACTTCACATTTTAAATAATGGATCAGAATCCAGTGGTTCAAAATTTGATATTCATTTGATCATTGATATTATGTGCTCTCTATAGTGCGTTATCAGTGGGATTTTTTTTACTCCCAACAGGTTTCTATTCATCATAACTGATCACAAACACATAGTAAATGCATTTCAAAGTAACTAATTGAGGAAACCGTAGTTGTTGTTTCTTTGGATGGTACATCCTTAATTGGATCTATCTATTACATTTTATTTTATCGAGTGGAGTTATGTCACATTTAATGGTATTATTATAAGGCAGTGTAATTGTTTATCCATTTCAGTTCCATATGTTATTCGATTGTCAAAAAGAACGTAGATGATTGCGCTTCTAATCATGTGCCAATAAACTGATTTGTCCACTTTTATTTATCTTTACTGAATGGAATTTTTAAATAGACATAATCCACCACTTTTTGTCTTTGAATAATGAATACACATTCAGGAAATAACAGAAATACGGTTTTACATGCGACTGATGAAATTATTCTGTATGTATATATACTTTGTCTAGATGGTGTACATTATCAAAATATTATGAAAATGCAAATATATATGGTTTAGACTGTTTATAGAAAATCATCACTTAATTATTTTTTATTTATTAAAAGAATAAGAATATCATGCTACAAAAATACCGTTACTGAATAGATGATAATTGTAATGCTGGACAGTCAAACTATGAATTGACCAAATCACTAAGTGGAATTGCTAGTTAATATAATAACGTACAATTTATGAACGTTTGCAGTGTTGTTGAATTAAAAAAAGTTACATATTGGAGTTAGTGAACGAAATTATGTTACCTTAATCTACCTGTTAAAATGAAAATCTTTTACTTTTATGGTTAAATCTGGTAACCAATAAACTGTGATATTGAACAATTTTAATCAGTTTAATCACATATTCACAGATGGTAGATTATCACAGTGATTAACATTTAATGAAGTAACTGATTTTTGATTGCCATGATTAAAAGTATGGATGGATTTAGTCAATGTAAATTGGTTTAATGACATATCATTTTAAATTACTAAAATCTTGAACTGTTGATTTGTTTAGTGAGCAGTTGAGTGAACTGCATAGTTACAATAATCTAAGAATAAATAAATATTTTAGATCTATGTACAGCGTTGTTCAATGGAAGATTAAGTTTTAAAGATAAGTACTTATGATCAGTAAAATTATATATTTGGAGAAATAATATGGTTTCTCTAAATAAACAAATTATTATTGACCTTTATTTTGTTGATGGGATGAATAAAAATTGTAATCACGGGATCAGTATTTTTCACTTATTAAATTGGATAAAATCTGAAGCGTGGTCCTATGAAAAGGAATAAGATCATCATGAAAGCTGTTTTAGAGTCAGTGTGTGTTATTAATGATCAGAAACCGGTGAGCATAGATATACTGCCCTACGTCAGTGGTTGCCATCGAAATAAACGTAGAGTTCTCAGTTTTATAATTGCTTTAACAAAGTTTTGTCTCAGTTTGATTTGAAGAGATAGCTCGCGAATCAGCAGAACCTACTTCCAGAATTATTGGTGATGACTTTAACCCCGGACACATCATAACTTTACGTTTGACAACTTTAAATTGAAGCATCACTAAGTCATCCAATAGCTATTTAATAGTAATTATCCGAATACAGTTCACGTGAAATTGTTTGTGAAGAATCGTAAAATTTGTAAGCTTTATTTGTCATGCCTTTAAGTGGCCAGCTTACAGATTGATGCCTCAAGGTCTAATTACAAATATTCATGGCTGGACCTCAGCAATAATAGAGGTGAAAAAGTTATACGCATCTGACATTTGTTTATAGTTGACTAATACCACAAAAAGGAATGAATGCAATAAGGCGTCTTTGAGATTTACGAATCAGTAGTTTGATCTTTAATTTCTGAGTTATTTGTGAATACTGTTAAGAAATTTCGTGCTAAGACAAAACGGTCGATTTCAATTTTATACCTGCTGGTATTAGCCCTATCCATCTAACTTTTGCATCCTGTACAACTAAAAATAAATTTGTTGATTCATTCGATTTTCATTGAGTTTATACTTGTTAATGGAAAAATAGTTGAACAATAATAAATAGACTAACAATTAAATGCATTTATATATGAGCATGATCTTAGTGAAATAAAAGGAACATGTACCTAAAATCTACGTCAAAAACTAAAGTAATAGGTGTGAGAACCAATATCAGTCAATCGGCATGGAAATGTAGTGACTTTATGAATTGTATTATACTTCGGTAAATGATCTGCGTTTCCCTAACTTAAAGAGACTAATTCCATATTTCAATATGACAAAACAGTTTATCGAAGATCAAAATTATCACCCTACGGTAGAACAACATGAGCAACACGATATGTGACTCGAGTGTTTCAGTATAAAATTGTACATAATATGTAAGTTCTTTAATGTAGAATGCAAGATGAATTTATTTGCATAAAAATGTCGCCTAATAAAAATGAAATTAGATTATACATGAAGATCATTCATTAATTGCAAATCGTTATTAGTTCATTTTATTAAAAGTTTACTTCGAATGTACTTACAGTTATTTAGTCGATAATTATCGATTTCTTTAAGTTCAAAAATTGTCTCTCAAGTACACTTAACATGCGATAGAAATAAGATTGTTTAAACTGTAATCTAATAAATTAAATGTATAAACTGCCTGTTTACATATTGATAAAATGAAATACCAAAAAAAAAAGCAACATAAACCTTAAGGAAATCTCATGACAGAAATGATATCTAATAAATTTCTTTCCAAATCTTGGGAAATTTTTAAATCGATAAATATTTTCCTATGAATGTGATCGTGACGTACTGCTGTGACTATTCTTGAAATTCTATTCAATTCATTAAATGTACTTGTAGTTATTATAAAGAGATAATTTAGTTTGTTCATAATTCTTTGAAGATATTTCGATAGAACAATGAGAAGACGGAGTTTATCTGGAAAAATGTGATGTATTTGCGCTATACATTTTGAACAATCTGCTCACACATATACTTGTCAAGGCATTTTTATATGAAAATTAATAAAGGTCAATTAAATAAAAGTTCAAGTAAAATAACAAAAGGGGGAGAAAGAATAAGAAATTGTCGCGTTATCCTAGGCCATAGAATGACTTAAGGATTACGAAGCTAAATTCAATGTTACGACAAATTGTTTTTGTACACATGAGGGGGGTTTAAATTTACGAATAGCCAAGGCTATTCTTTCTCCCCCCTTTGTTATTTTACTTGAACTTTTATTTAATTGACCTTTATTAATTTTCATATAAAAATGCCTTGACAAGTATATGTGTGAGCAGATTGTTCAAAATGTGTAGCGCAAATACATCACATTTTCCAGATAAACTCCGTCTTCGCATTGTTCTATCGAAATTTATAAAAGGGACTAATTGCTTTAAATTCTTTGAAGATAAACGATAAGCTGATTTCTAGCCATTATTCCAATATTTTTGAACTGTATAATATACGGATAAAATTGGAAATTTCGATCAAATAACATGACTTCAAAATGAACACTTACTTCGTTTTCCCATGATGTTCTCGAATAGTTTTTATTCATTGTATGTGAATAATATATTTGCAAACTTTTATTCTAGTTTGTACTTTGAATCATTTAAAAGGTTACTAGAAATTCCGTATAATTTGCTTTAAATGTTCATAAGTGATTTAGTATGCTAGAAATTGTAAATGAATTCGATATCTATAAATCATTTCATAGTTCAGCCCTTATTGGCTAATAATATCAACCAATCAAATGTTACTAATAAACATTAAATGTAGAAACGCCCCAGTTTGATTGCAGATATGTGTTTACTTATACCTTATAAAACATAATTTCTACTATTCAAACGATACTACATCTTGTATTGATTTTATGCTTTGATTTATATTAATTTATAATAGCCATTAAATGTGAACACAATAAAATTATCAAGTAAATTAACATCAGAATGGTTGCGTAACGTCCTCATATTTTGATGTGATCATTCACTGACATGAAAAATGAATACGTTTTGTATCATTATTGAAGTTCATTAATCCAATTGAATGCAGTGAATACTTAAAAAAGTTTAATAAAGTTTTGTATTGATTTATAAAGTTTGTCTATTTGTATATTTCATAAACTGACCCATAGTACATGAACATATGTTCCCACGATATGAGGTACATTTCTCAGTCTGTAATCTATAATATATAATGAATTAAGAGGACTTCATTAAGCTGAACTTACCATTTATAGTACACATGATCTAACACATATATGAACAGATAGCTAATGTTTCAGATAAGTTATGTAGTATAAAAATTCCATTATCATCAATGTGTTCTACATTAAAATCATAGAGCAACTTGTAAAGCTTGGCATTTAAAAATTCCAATTCTGATTTATTACCACGGAGAAAATTCCATATTTCCATTTATTGCACGTAAAGAAAATTTATAAGTATCTATGATAATCCAATACTGATATTGATATCATTCAGAAAACGTAATTGAATAGTGTCATATTCAGTTTCCAAATCAGTAACTGATGCAGTAAATACTCATTTTCAAAATACTAATTTGGTTTAGTACTGAGTATCATTTAGAAATGAAATTTCTAAACACTATTTCAAGTTCTTTCATATAAATTATACTTTAATAAATTCGGGGTTGATATTTATATATTCTGATTTAATGGAACATAACTCCAAATAAACAAAATGTTTTACCTTACTGAAAAGTACAACAGATGAGTTGTTAAATTTAGAATAGTACAAAACATGGATGATGATCGAAGATCGTAGATTTAGAAAACAGTCATCTTCAGAAAGAAACAGTTTATAGCTTGATTCTCTTTTGTGCTATTTGGTTGATAAAAATGGTGTTTCTGTAAGCGTCTTACTTTATGCAACATAAATATACCATATAATGTTACCTCTGATAATACACAGTATCTTGTTTCGTGCTAATGTATCTTACTATCTGATAAAAAGAGACTGAATATTTTTTAGCAAATGAAGAGATAGCTGTGTAGCGGTCGTTAAGTGGTTAAGGTAACTAGTTCTTAGCCACTAAGCTGCATGTTCGAGATCCAATCCACCTACTTGACTTCAAACAACCAAGTATGATGATTTCTCACACTTAGAGTGTGTCTTGAAGTCAAGGAAAATAATGTGTACCAGGTAGCTAAGTTAATCAAAATAATTGACCAATAAAATGAAAATAAACGCTTGGTAAATTTCGATAATGCAATGAGAAGACGACGTTTATCAGAATTATGTGATATATTTGCGCAAAACATTTCGAACAATCTGATCACAAATATACTTGTTAAGAACATTTATATATGAAAATCAAAAGCTCAACTAGACAGGTTAAAGGTAATCCATAACAAAGGAAAAATATTAAAGTATACAAAAACAAATGTGATCACCACTCTAAATAATAAATCAGTATTACTAGGGTAGGTTAAGTGTAAGCACAAATTGTTTTTGAACAACTAAAGGAGGTTTCCATTTCCGTATAGCCAAGACTTCAATAAAATCAATCGTATTTGTACTTGTGACACTACTGAAGTAGAGACGAAGCTCTTGACTGATACGTTAATCAATAAGGGTTAGTCTTTGAAGTTCATAAACCACTAGAAGGGTTGCAATACGACTAGACCTATGACGCTTCTGACACCCAAAAAGCGAGTTTATATTACATTACCATTCAGAGGTGACACAAATAGTCTCATGTTGAAACAGAGACTTAAATTAGCTATAAACCGGACATTTTATGCAGCCCAACTTGTCATTATCAAAAAGACAAGGTTTATGTTTCACCAAAAGTCCAAACAGCACGAAAGTGATTGTGTCACATCCCATTGTGTCTATCGATTTACATGTATGTGTGGAAACACGTACATAGGGAGGAGCAATCGTGATTTTCAATTAAGAGTGGGTGAACACCTACCAAAATGGTTGCAGAAACAAATGGATTTCAATGGTCAAATAAGATCACAGGATAGACAAACATTTTCCTCTATAGCGAAACATTTGATTGAGACTAGTCATAAGGTTGACATCAAATCAGCATTTGTAGTGTTACACAAAAGCCTGCAAGGACGTATACTAAGGTTTATTGAAGCCTTGTCTATGTGGAAATCGAAACCCCCTTTATTTGTTCAAAAACAATTTGTGCTTACACTTAACCTACCCTAGTAATACTGATTTATTATTTAGAGTGGTGATCACATTTGTTTTTGTATACTTTAATATTTTTTCCTTTGTTATGGATTACCTTTAACCTGTCTAGTTGAGCTTTTGATTTTCATATATAAATGTTCTTAACAAGTATATTTGTGATCAGATTGTTCGAAATGTTTTGCGCAAATATATCACATAATTCTGATAAACGTCGTCTTCTCATTGCATTATCGAAATTTATCAAAGGAGCTAATTGTTTTAAACCCTTGGTAATTCGCAAAAAAAATGTTTTTCAATAACCGGACATTATGTAAACCGAATTAAAAAAACAGAGCGTTTTATCACATTAAATTACGTTGTGCTATATCTTCTGTCATGCTTGTGAAAATTCTTCAATAAATAATACACAATTTTCAATACTCCTAAAACTCATAGACGTTTTAAAAATATTTTTTGAATTTATTTCTTGCTTTATATGAAGCAACTAGTTACTTACAAAAAGATGATAATTATTTTAACCACAATACTTCTATAAAACTAAATATTTTTTAAAATGTTAAATATATTGCTGTTATATTCCGATGAGTAGAAAAATTGTATTTCTGACATTTCGTGACTTAATGCAATCCCATTCTTTAGAGTTAAAGTGGCTTATATTAAGTCACGAAACGTCAGAAATACAATTTTTCTACTCATCAGGATATAGCAAAAATATATTTATTATTAACTTTCTACCCAATGTTCAATTTATTTGAAACTATCAAGTTCAACCTTGATATTGTTACCTAAGTAATTTTTATTATCGGTAAATTTATATGCCTTTTACTAAACATCATACTTTCTTAAAACGCAATATTAATCATAGTAAGTTTAATAAGATGAAAATGATCTATTCGAGGCTAAATTTTCTGATGTAGCACAAAGTTAACACTTATAACGTTGAATAGATTCGGTTACAATGTTTGATCTTCGACAGTATAGAATAGTATTTATTTCAGATTCATTCATTACCTCTACATTTTATAACTGTTACAATGTAGTTTTCATACCACGATCAAAGTATTCTAGAAATATAAGGAAAAGTAGCGGGCTTTTCACAATCAGACTTCTAGCATTTACAAGATGTATGACTATCTACTTGACATAATAGAATATATAATGCTATGTCTACCTGATAATATGTAGACATGTATCTAAACAATTCTCGGTTTACAGTAAACTTAACCTTTATTTTACATACAATTAATCACAAATTGCAAGGAAACAACGACGGTAAATGTCCCTTGACATGATTGCTACTATATCAAATCAACATTGCAAATGTGCAACATCAAAACATTGTATGTGCTAAATCAGTTCAGAATAAAATATCAGATGTTACAGATGTTAGATGTACTATAACACATCCTATTGCCAAGCCTTCTCTTTATAAAGTCATTTGCTAGGTGATTATTCATTTACGTAATTATTCATTGAAATTCATTTTTATATTAGGTAAACAAACTTATTTTTTGATTGCCGAAATGATATGAAGTCATTTAGTCACTAGTTTTCTAATCTGATAAATGACGATATCGGAAAAAAGACAAACAAAATGATATTTTTTAAATTGAAATCATGAGTCAATTGAAGCTAGACCACCATGGAAAACCGGAAGCACTGGACTACCGTTTCGCCGTAGTATGGGACTCCTCAGCAGTGCGCATCCCGCGAGATTCGAACCCAGGACCTATCAGTCTCGCGCCAGGCGCTGAGGAGTCCCATACTAGGATGAAACGGCCGTCCAGTGCTTCTAGGTTTTCCATGGTGGTCTAGCTTCAATCGACTCATGATTTCAATCGAAAAAACTTAACGGTCTCCACAACCCCTAAACTGATAATTACCATGTGCTCACTAGTGACTAGCTTCGTGAGAAAATTCTCGGAGTTCTGGTGACAAGCCGTAACTAGTGGAGATAATCGGTGTCAGGTAGAAACAGGTGTGTACCTCAGTACAATGGAAGATGGTCGCGCAATTTCTTGTATTGGTTGAGGTTAGACATTAACACCATTGGATGCCTGCTCAGTGGTCTAGTTGGTTAAGTGCCTGGCGTGAGACTGATAGATCCTGGGTTCGAATCTCGCGGGAGGCGGGATCGTGGATGCGCACTGCTTAAGAGTCCCATACTGGGACGAAACGGCCGTTCAGTGCTTCCAGGTTTTTCATGGTGGTATAGTGACTCACGTGCAATCGAGTTTAGTTCAATCAAGGTCTTTTGTTGACCTATTTAATGGACAAAGTCATCCATGATATAACAACTTGTTGTACTATCTTTATTATTATGCTTGTATGAAATACATATGCTTGAACACTGTTTAGCGCCTACGCATGTATTCATTCTGCTAGCTTCATTATTAACTGCTTAATCTATTCGCTGACTCATCCATTGTCCTATACATATATATATGTGTACATTTGCACCCATTCACTACTACTACTACTACTACTACTACTACTTGCTACTGCTACAATCGTAGTTCGCTTGCTCATTCATTTTGCCTCTCTGCTGTCTGGTCCGAATCATCTACTAAATAAACTGTAGTAGCTGCTTCTTTTTGCCTTCTGATTTCAAACATCATTGAAGATTATACGATAACGGTTCGAGGGTGATTAATTAACGAAGCACAGCCACTACAGTGGTCTAGCTTCAATCGATTCATGATTTCAATCAAAAACTTAACAATCTCCACAACCTCTAAACTGAAAATGATATTTGCTCTAGCCAACTAATGAATCATCAATAATCAGTGATCTTGTTGTTTGAGTACTTGATATTTTTATCTTGGTATAACACTACGTATATAAATTAACTCAATTACATATAATAAATTATCATATCAACTGAACAATAAATAAAATTTAACAATATTTCATGGTCATTAATAACAACGATGCACCATTGTATAATTGTAAAAATATTCACCATTTTAGTGCACGGACACGCTAGTTTCAGTAAAAGTAACTAAAACCCATT